AGGCTCCCTTTTTGCGTCCAACTCGACTCTTGATGACAGGGGGAACACATCGGCAACCATCCCGCGGTGTGAGTGCTCCATTCCGGATGTGCGGTTCTCACAGCGCTCGGTACGCAAAACACTCCTCTCCCTGGACATCCAGAAGTCGAGTGGGCCTGATGGAATCCCCACCAATTGTGCTGAGGACGTGTGCTCCGAAATTGGCACCGGTTCTAACGCATGTTTTCCGGTATTCCTACTCCCTAGGCGTAGTCCCTAAATTATGGAAGACATCTTTTGTCCACCCGATTCCTAAAAAAGGCGACCGCTCAAACCCGTCCAACTACAGACCTATCGCCATTACCTCCTCGTTTTCCAAAATAATGGAATCCATTATAAACTGCCAGCTCATGCGGTACCTTGAGATCACCAGCTGATTAGTGACCACCAATACGTTTTTCGTTGAGGTCTATCAGCTGGTGATCTTCTGGTTTACCTGGTTCATAGATGGGCGGAGGCAGTACAGTCCAAGGGCGAGGCGTTGGACGTTAGTTTGGTCATTGCGAAGGTCTTCAATCGGATTTGACACAAAGCGCTTCTTTCGAAGCTCCCTTCCTATGGGCTTCCCGAGAAATTGTGCAATTGGGTCATCAGCTTCCTTGCAGATTGGTGCAACAAGGTTGTTGACGGTGAATGCTCCGACTACAAGCCTATTAACGCTGGTGTTCCACAAGGCAAACTTGTGTCTGAAGTCGAGTCTTTGCTGAACAAAGTCTCGGATTGGGGGCGACTAAACCTAGTCCAGTTTAATCCTCAGAAGACACAAGATTGCGTGTTTATCGCTAAAAAGAACCCCTTTGTCGTATTTACTTAATTTCAAGGCACTCCCCTTGTTGCCTCAGCCAGTATCAGAATCCTCGGCGTCGACATATCGAGTGACGTGCAGTTTCGTGGTCACTTGGAAGAGAAGGCCAAATTGGCCTCTAAAAAGCTTGGCGTGCTCAGCCGAGCGAGACAGTATTTCATGCCGGCACACCACCTGCAACTTTACAAGGCGCAGGTTCGGCCTCACATAGAATACTGTTCCCATCTCTGGGCTGGGGCACCCCAGTGCCAGCTCCTTCCACTTGACTGCATCCAGCGCAGAGCGACTCGAATCGTCGACAACCGAGTCCTTTCTGATCGGCTGGATTCATTGGCGCTGCGAAGAGATGTTGCATCCCTTTGCATTTTCTTTCGCATTTACCAGGGGAAGTGCTCTGAGGAATTGTTCGTATTAATGCCAGCCGCCAAATTTCATCACATCGCGGCAGAACTCCCGATACCATCCACACCATCTGGATGATTTGCGGTTCACCATTGTGCGATTTAGATGTTTTCTTCCTCGCACAACTTCCTTGTAGAATAGATTACCATCAGCGATTTTTCCGGACCGATACGGATTAGGGACCTTTAAAGAAAAGAGCCTACTCCTTTTTAAAAGGCCCGCAACGCATCTGCTATTCTCTTTGTTCCCCTGGTGTTTCAGTTGTTCGTGGGCGGCGTTGGTCATTTACCATCAGGTGAGCAGCATGCTCGTTTGCACCCTCTCCTATAAAAAGAACGTGCTTGGCGGTGAATAAAAACATCATGAAGAAACCTGCATGTCTGAGAAATAAGAAAAAATATTCGAAGACATGTGAAGTTCGCCAACACGCATTGGGTCATCGTGGCAGACATTTCCTTGCTCTTTAACCCAGACAGAAATGAAGTGAGGCCTGTGACCAGCAGTGGAACGTATATAGGCTGTAACTTTAACTTTAAAAATCAATCAGATGCATTTTCACCCCTGAAAACGAAGATGTAATGCCTCACTTCCAGTAAAAAGGATCTCAGTTTCTCTACACTCACTATATGAAACAAAGCAGCAGTAAGCTGCCATTTAAGCTGGTTTTCTGCGAGAGCGTGGTCCTACCCTGGTTGAGCCGACCCATTCGTGCTACAACCATAATATAGCTGCAGTGTGCCTCCACGCTAACGCTTTTGTGATGGAACTCTGACCGTGACCTCTGAATTATATTCTCACAACAAAGTTGATACCTTACTGTACATATCTCTAATTTTGTACAATCCCAAACATACCACTGCAAACTTTCAAGATACTGTAAGTTCGTTCTGCGTAGATCGAATCAAAAAATGATATTCAAAACCTAAAGGTGGCCGGGCTAACTATGTCATCGGGACGTCAAACATCTCAGTCCCCCCAATGACCATTGGTGTTGTAAATCACTCGAAACGTCGGGAATGAAAATTAAGTAATTTAAATGAAATAAAATCCGTAAAAATAGGCTATATTTTATCCGAAAGGATGTTATTCAATAAGATATACATGGTAAATAAGGTTTCTATTTTTATTTGAAATTATCCCAAATTGAATGTGATTTATGGGCAACAACGTTTTTGCCTACCGATCGACCCTTACGAATGTATCCGTGCGCAGAATCAGTTAAAATAATGCATTACCACGCATTTTGAATTTTAAAGATTTCCTTTTATCTTTTATCAGAATGTTTGAGTTTTTTTTTCACCATTAGCCTATATTAGTATTCTCAAACTTCTTTGCAATTTTTTTGTGGAATCGAAAATTTGCGGAAATAAATGGTCTTTGATGATTATCTTAAATCTAAATGATGACAAAAATAACACCACACAGGCACACAGTATATCATCGGGAATTAAAATATATGTTATAATTAATATTAATTTATATATAATTGTATATCTTATATGTATCAACCATTGCGGCTGTATTTTACTGACAGGGGAGAAAGAGTTTACTCAATTCGTGTTTTCTTTAAATATATGTGTATAATATATATATTGATTATAATTGATATTGCTAAAACCAAAGTATAATAGTAGTATACAGTAATTTGTTTTTTAAATGGCGGAAAATGGCAGGAATTGACCGGCGCGCTGCGATGCATGACAGTTACAGATTGTCAATATTTTACACATAGTTGGGATAGATGACATTTACTGTCGAGGGGATATATAATGCAATTCGTAAATGACCGTACATCCTTGAAATATTGTTAATATACACAGGGTACCTCAAGATGTTTCCTGCATCGCCAAGCACGTGACAATTCGTTGAAAATGTTATATGGTTACCATTCACCGAAACGAACTTTAACCAAAATCAAAAGCACACACATAAAAAAATTATTTAAACCAAGCGCTTTAAATCTGTTTATCACGACAAAGGGCCTAAATCAATTATTATTAGTAAATTTATGTAAATTGACAATTATATTAAGCAGTGTGTTATCAGCGTAAAATGATTCGCCATTCCAAAATATCACAGCATAATCATGGTATTATAATTTCGTATAAACCAAATGGAAGACAGATTTAAATTAAAGCATTATAACGTAAAGATATTTTGAAATTTGGATTAACAGAAATAATTACAATTATTTTTGCGAAAGCTAGAATATTGTCAGATCTATTTTTTTATTGAAATTGTATGTTTTGATGATTTCTAATAAGTCAATGGAATCTTTTACATCACCACTAGAATAACTCATTATTTACATTATTATTACATTGGACAGTGTTTAGATTAAGCGACATAGCCTTCTGATTGATAAATAACATGAACCTATTGATCTAATCATCTGGCATAAGTGACGGAATATAGTTTACTGTCACTTAGAACTGGTCATTTAAAAATGCCTCCCCCCCCCCCCCCCACAAACACTCCGAAAATGTCTTGAAAATAGATAATCGTTAAAAGTCTTCTTGAAATCACCTTGTTGAGTCGTCAATTATTTGTAAGTTTTGCAAATTAATTATTATAGAATGCAGTGTAGTGTATGAGAATCAATCACTCTAAAATACATCTAATGACATCATAGTATATATATACATCATAGTATATCTAATTATCTCGTTCATGCCAACTTAGAAAATAGAGACCGGTGACGTATAATTTGCCAGGTTTATTTTAGAATAAGGGTGACAAACGAGCTCACAATCCACCTGATGGTAAGTGGATACTGAGGCCCATACACATCTACATTTATCCTCGATTAAGATTCAAAATACAGACGCGTTGTCATCCTGAGGACTGAGATGATATGCCTCGTTTCCAGTAAAAAGGGTCTCCGGTAGTCTACACTCACCATACGAAACACAGCATATAAAATACAGCGTAAAATAGCAGCTTAACGCTGTTATTTTACGCTAGTTTGCATATAAGTTGTCGTATAGTGGTGATGTAAGAGAATCACCACATTTAATCTCATGGGTTTCATAAAAGGCGATTGTGGGAAATGCCACAAATAGCTTTAAGTTTCGCCAAGTTCGATAGATTGCGTAACAATCATCCCTTCGACATCATCATCATCATTACAGCCCTTTATAAGTCTACTGCTCGAAATACCCCCCCACCCCTCCCAACGAATGCCACAAAGCACGATCCTGAGCCACCTGCAGGAACCGACTTCCTGCATGTCTTACTAGGTCGTTACTCTATGTACTGGGGGCCATTCTAATATGCTAGACGAAAAATAGCCATAATGCGAGATGTCTAATGCTGCGATCGTCAATCCGCCTGTCATGTGTAAGAGTTAAGACAAGTTCTTCTTTCGATGGGAGGGGCAACTAGTGGGCTTCTACGGGCTGATAAAAAAGAGTAAGAAAAGAAGAAGCCCATATTCGGCAGTGGAGTGCTACTTGTTGAGAAACAAAAGTACGATTTGATTTTATTGTTAGACAATATTGAGGAAATCACTTTCAAGGAGTAATTATTTTTTTTATAAACTATTGTGACGAACGAACTTGCAGTCAATCTGATGGTAAGTGGCTATTGGCATCTATATATTGGTGTCTATGGACATCCGCAGCCAACTTCAAGCAAAGAACAGATACCATACACACAAGGAATTTTAGGTAGAAAAGGATTATTATAGTGAAAACATATTCATAGTTATGTCTCTTACAAACGAAATTTATCGATAAATAATTTTTATTTCCAGAGCTCCACTACACGAAGCAGAATTTGTGGAGGAAGTGGGTGATACGTATAATGAATTACACGACCCCCATTTCTGTGAATACGCCGACGATTGTCCATTCTCTTTGTTACATTTCGTATTGGCTTTAAATAAAGAAAGATATTAAATGAAAAGTTGTTTTTGTATTTTATAGTTAAACCAATGCAAAGTGGAATCAAAAAATAATATAGTACATCATAAAATATAATATCTGGTAAAAAAAGTAACAAACTATATATTTCCCAATATCATAGGCCTGCTAATTTTTTATCGGCGGATTTAAGAGTTGCATTCAACTTGACCACAACGCAGGATGTCAGATATTACATGAAAAGGTCTTAGATATGAATATCTTTTTGCTTATGATGATTTTCTTTACTGCTGATACCAGATAGACTGTCAGAGATTCAAAATTTATTTACGCTCTTTGTATAGATTATTCGTACAAAACATTATCTCTCCAATAAAGTTCGATTAATAAACACTTAAAATTACCTACTTATCAGGGCTGTATTCAAGTCCCATAAACTATAATAGTCTGTATAGGATTTCAGTTTGGCCATAACTGATAAACAGTAGCTCTAGGCTCACTTATCCGCCTGATCAGGGTAGTGAGTACAGTCTAGTCAAAAAATGCATGTCTTTTGTCCCATTCTTCCTCCCGATATCAGGTGTCGCCGCGCGGTGCAACGTTATCGCTTTATATATTATTCCAGGCACTAATCAGCACATTTTAAGTTTGAAATCATTGAGAAAGACACATTAGGGCATTAATGATTAAAGCATCGTAGCGTGGAGATGTTTTAAATGGACATACAGAAATCTAACCCATTACGTTGTTTTTAAAGAATGTCTTAATTCTTTTAAATATTTTTCATATATAATTTTGACTAATTCAAATAGAACAGTAAAATGTTACATCGTAATTAACTCAATTTATTTGTAGATTAATTACTGAATAATTGCTATTTACATTCCGGAAGGATGATTTTCACAAAGTTTAATATTCATTAAAGTTACAAAAACAAGATATAATAAATTATATTTCCAGTTACTAATTGTCTTCCAATATTGACGAGAGTACGGAAAGGACGGGCGGGCCTCAAGCTTAGGTAGCTGACCTTGAATAGTTTACTACCTGGTGCGTGTTTTCGGAACTAACGGGTTTGTTATTGTGAGAGAAATTAACAATAGAGTAAGACAGATAGATTGAAGCGAAGCTTCTTTAAGTTTTTTGATTTTTGTTTAGTCCATGTCCGTCGATACTTTGGATGTGCTTATTTCGTTGTCGGTTTTTCTTCGATTTACGATCCCTTGGCATTCCTATTTCACTATCTATATTCTGCATGACGACTGGACTGTTATTTCGTAACATTCAAAACAACTCGGCATTCTACTGGACTTAATGTTTTGTGCACTATGATTGTAACGCTATTGGAAGTGTCAAGACGATACTGAAATGCCCCGCATACAAAACTCAGCTCAAGAGTATGCTAATATGCATTTAATTTATGGGAAGTGTGACGGCAATGCCAATAGCCGTGTCTGACGGTGTGGCGGTTCAGAATATCCACTACGCCATATCTTTCAGTGGGTGTCGTAAGAGGCGACAGTAGGAAACAGGTAGAAGGTGGCAGCAGCATCTTCCTGATAACAGCAAAATAACGATAAAAAAGTGAGGTTGCTAACACGCTTGCCAAGCGTGGCCACTATGGCAAATATTCCCTCATGGAATGAAAGTTACGAAGAGATGGCCCCCAGCCCCCGGCTGATCCGCTATTCCTGGCTACGGTTGCGACTTAGGTAACGGTAGGCCAGGAGGTGCTAGGAAACTCCGGTGGATGTTTCGTTGCCACCTAAGATGACTCGATCTGGCAACATACAACACATGCACCCTGTGGACTGACGAGAAGATCCTGGAGCTGAAAGAAGAGATAGACAAGTTACGCTGGCATAATATAGGATTATCCGAGGCCTGAAGACAGGGGAGGACACGGTAATCTTCGAATCTAGCAACTTGTGTTATCACTAGGAAGCCGTTTGTATATTGAAGGGTTGCGTACCTTATACTCAGATTCACCAAACGGTATTCGCTGAAGGTCATACATGTTTACGCGCCAACCTCGGCACACCCCGATGAGGAGGTGGAGGAAATGTATGAGGATATCTCTAGAGCCATGCATTCCTCCAAAACCCACTATACGGTGTTAGTTTTAGACTTCAACGCAAAACTAGGCACAAGAAATAACGGTGAGCTTTAAGCAGGGAAATTTGAAATAGGGCAACGGAGCACAAGGGACCACCAGCTGTCCGACTTCATACATAAAGAAGGACTCTTTATGATGAAATTTTCCTTACAGAAGTGACCTCAAAGGAAGTGGACCTGGTCAAGCTCTGACGGTTCGACAAAAATGAGATTGACTTCATTATTACTACCAGACCTAAAAGTTAAGTTGGAGAGGTCACGTCTAATGAAGTTAAGACTCCGTCCCCCTCGTGCTTTAAGCCAAAGTCCTGAAACCTTTCAGCTCGAGTGGACGATATGAATGATAAACTCGTGGAAACTGTCCATGCGGTCCGAGCTAAGTTCTACAAGACCCGCCGCAGAAGAGCTCAAAAAATCTCACTCTCTTAATCTCATGGCTGTTAGGCGGGAAATGAAGCTGCAGTATTTAACAAATTTAACAGCATACAGGCAACTGAACAGATAGATCTCCAAATGCATGCGGCAAACTGATAAACTTAGAAATGAGGATGTCTTCAGTAGAACCATAGTTACCGACATAGGCTAACGGATTAGTAATCTGAAGTGGCAATGTAGCCATATAGCTTGATGAACCGACAACCGATGGGGAAGAAAGGTTCTCGAGTGGCGGCGTCGTATCGATAACCGAATCGAGGGGTGCCACCCCACAAGATGGAGTGACAACCTGGTAAGACATGCAGGAAGTTAATCGATGCAGGTTGCTTAAGGCTTTACTTAGCGGAGGCCTATGTTCAGCAGTGGACTTTAATACACTGTAACGGTAAAGGTAATGAATGGTAGAGCCACGCGGCAGCTTTTGCTGTCGCAAGGATGGGCCGGCTCGAACTGGGGTAGTACCACGACCTCACAGAAAACCAGCGTGATGTAGAGGTTTACATCTGCGTTTCGCTTGGTGAGTGCAGGTGGCCGGAGGCCTTTTTTACTGGAAATGAGGCATTCCATCTTAGTCCTCACGGGTGACAACGCATCTACATTTTGATTTGTAACAGAGGATAGATGTAGATGTATATGGGCCGCAGCAACCACTTACCATCCCGGTGGACTGTGTGCTCGTTTGTCAACCTTATCCTATAAAAAAAAATATAGGCCGAATGGACCTGAATCATTGCCACTACCGGTGATAGCTTTGATAATAAATTTCAGTTATCATTTGGTGGACTTCGGAGAAACGGGTGGCTTCTCCACCTGTCTTCTTCAGCTGAGATAATGTCGTGAGTTAAGAGGAATCTTAGAATGACTGCTCCCTCCAAAATTTTGTTGCTGTTAGAACCCTAAATCAGATCTATTTCTGAACCAGGTAGGCTGTTTCTGCTAGTAAAGTTACATACTATTTATCCTATTTTCCTATTTGTCTTCTTCCAATGCACGTAAGCGGACCTTTTTTCTCTCCAAAGTATTTTTGGAACGAAGTTCCTTATCGGACGGTACAGGTTTGGCGGATGGGAGCTATGCGATAACAAGTGTAAGATTTTTTCGTCACTACCCCTTGTGTCATAGTGTAGACGGCCTTGGCGGCGAAATAAGGAAGTGAGATGGAATAATATCCATCCTCTTCGCACTTTTTCTTATCTTACCATGAAAGAAACATTATTTTATTTCAAATGACGCTTTATTTTAGTAGACGCTAGTAATTCATTTATTTGTATTTGTTAATCAATAATATAATACCTACGTTTATCAATAATAATATACTACGCAAGGAACTTCGGTCCAACCGAGTGCTCCACGACCCTCACGCATTTTTTATTTTAAATTTTTCTGACTTGCAACTTTCTTCACGATATTTTTCTTCAACGCCAAGCACGTGGTAACTTCATCAGTACTTAAAATGCATATAACAATTACTTTAGTGTCGGCAGGGATCAAACTTGATTGATTGCGTACTTTGAAATGAAAGAGCTGTGGTGGCTGAAGCTAGTGCTTCAGGTGCTCAATTTTCCTAGCCCAGGTTTATTGTAGCCTTTACACAAAAATCCACTGTACAACAAATCACCTTACAGTTGACAACGATGCGGCAACCGTTCTCGCTATAGTCACACTGACTACGTCCTTCTTGTAGTATACGGACATTTCTAGTGAACTTTAAAGGTATGAGCGATTTCATTTGTTTTTTAATAATAAACCAGAATAAATGAGAAATATTTTTTTATTCCTTAATAGTGAAAATGGTATCATACATTTTTTGTTATACTTTTGGTGCAATTGTGATTTATTTGTGATATATTTACTAGCCCGTTTTCAATATTGTCGAGTGTAAATGAAGCTAAATGAAGTAAAATGATTATTAAATACAATGACAAATGCAGGGCATATTTTTATTTTTTACTATAACGGACGAGTGCAAGCATTTTAATACCTTAAACATTGGCTGAGTTAACTTTAAAAGTTCATTTCCTTAATCGCCAGCAATGTGTGCTTCACACATCGTTGAAATCGTTATCGCCTTAAGACAGACCCTCTGCGCGACCACTACTATACTTCCTTTTTTTTTTGAAAGTAGGCTAAACTCAAAAAAATAAAAGTAACCACGGGTGTATTTGTTCAGTTAACAATTGAATTAAACCCGTTGATATGAAATAAGACGAAATAGATTTGATATGAAATAAGACAATTTCAAAGAGATATTTGATCTCATAAAATAAATAAGTAAATTACTTGTTCCTTTAGATAAAGATATCATTACTGTCAAAATATGAAACAGCGACTCCATTAATAGCTAACTACGGAAGTCGATCTGTAATAGGTCGGGGAAAAGTTTCTTCGTATTTTGTTTATATAAAATTGAAGAAAAATCTCTTTGGTTGTTCTGTTTGTATCTGGCTGGTTCTAATATCAATACATATTACACATGTATTGACATC